GTACGACTAATGCGAAACATACGTAAGTAACAATTAACGCGCATATTTTTTTATTTTATAACCGTATCCGGTACTTAAGGAAATAAAATACATATAATTGTCGACGAATGAGATAAAACTCGATGTAATGAAAATTCGTGAAATAAAGTCGAAAGTCAAAAATAAAAAAGCTGCAATTAATGATACTCATATATTCCGTATTTTTTACTATTCTTTTTTTTCTTTTGAAAGAAAGGAAATTATTTCTTAAATCTCTAATTCTCCTGAATTTTTAGAATGCAAATTATAATAGTTTATATCGTATGGAAGATCCGCGCGGTTGATGCGATATTTCGCTTCCTGTATCGTTCGTGTAAAGATTGTAGAAATGAGTATCCTCAATAGCTGCGAGACTGTTATCAAAGGACACTAATGTGAGGTGTAAGTAAGCGAAAATTAATGCGCCATTGAGTTTTTCATAGCCGCTATCCCGTCGCGATACCTAGCTATCGCGGAAGTTTGTATTCCTCGCTTAATACGCTAATTGACAAAAAACATGGCGGAATACGTTCAGTATATCGACCATTTAAACCCGATAGAACTTGAAATAGGCGAGTTTATAGATACGGGATCGAACGATTAATGTTTTTGATTAATGAATTTCGCAATTAGAATATTTGTTATATATTTAAATATATATTATTTCACGAAATTCAATTGTTTCCAATTTTATTTCTGTTTATATAAAATTAATGATTATTATTTTATATATATATATATATATATATATATATATATATATGTATAAAATATTTTTATGCATACATCAGAAATAAAATCGGAAATACGTTGATTTTATTTTCGCTATAAAACGCATTATCCATTATTACTCGCGTTATTCTGTCGGCTTGCGTTGCGGGAAAAGCGATCGTCTTCGTGTCGAGAAGAATTTTACGCAGTTTGCGATCGTAAACGGCATGGAAATACGCCTCTCGCGCTTTTAATACCGGCAATGCTGAACTTCCGATTTCGCATCTCCCTCGCGTTTTCGTGATTTATTCAAATCTAGAGGCGCGCGCATGAAAGAGAGCATAGATGAGAGAGAGCAACGCGTAGCGAACAACAAAATTTTACGAAATGGAGTGGGTGTGCTCGCGAACGTATTTCTGGTTGTAAATCAACGAGTTATGCATAGAAATGGCGTAGTCGCCACTTCCGCCCGACAGCGTTTAACATTTAGCGTTCCTCTTCACCCACTACTGATCTCCGACACTCCGAGTGACTTAAAATCACGCTCGAGGCTACGCAAGGCTGCGTGCAATCGCCGCTCGTGATGAATGATCCTCGACCAAGCGTACTATGAACTATTTCTAGCGTCTCGCGATTGGCGATGGAGCATATCGTTCTTTATTACTTATCGAGACGCGTTTAATTATCATGCAACAGTGGCTTCGAGCTGCGTAAACTCGTTAAGACTGCGTTTCAACGCATTCAAACGTAACGTCATCTGATGAAAGTTTAGTTTAATTGGGAAAAAAGGCGTGATATGTAAAAAATTATTAAAAAAATATAAGTTTAAATTATATACCATGAGTAAATAAATATGGTTTTAGAAAATAATTTATGTACAATATAAAATATGTAAAAAATAAAATACGTAGTTGAATTATCGTAAAACCTAATAGTTATAAGTCTTGAAAGAAAGTTATACTTTTTCATCGTAGTTTGCTCACTTTTATTACCGGTCGTTTAAGAGAAATTATCGAGTTTACCTTAATAAAATCAAACGTTAAAATGCAATTTCAATCGCTTGGGATGATCGGAGGAAAGAGAAAATCGATTCAAATTTTTTTCACAGAAAAAGAGATAGTGTGTCATAAGTTTGGCCGATAAAATCGTCATAATTTCGTTCGGATCACCACCGGAACCGTAGTCGATCCTATTTTTTCAAAGTGGCACTCCCACGTCTCGGCAAAGTCACGAGCGCGCTTTCACAGCATACTTGCACGACCATAAAGATACGTCCCTTTTCCTCTTTCCGTTGAGCGACTTTTATGAATCCGAGCGCATAAAGTCAGATCATGAACGGTTAATAGACAACTCGATCCGGCACAATGTGAAAGAAAACGATTCTGAGCGAAAGGTCAGAGGGGTCCAGTCGTGATGCGGCTTTCCTCGGGGAAATCCTCTCTCTTTAAAAAGCACTAATAAAGTTGCGCCAAGTAATACCAGATGTTGCGGCAACATTCCGCTTGTGCAAATTTCAATAATAACAGGACGATGGCTGAATGAAGGAGACGTAATGTTGAACTTAGTCGAGATTAAAGGTATAATCCATCGTCTTCCAGCACTGCTTATACTAAACTGGCATCTTCTTCCATACGTAAACACTCATTATCGATTAGCAGTGACGGTGAGATTACTTCTTGGCAATGTGAAGCGAAATGGAGTACAAAGTCTAACGTGCGAGGAACGACATGCACATTAGTGAAACGTAAAGAAAGGTCAACGTATATTGGCGTATGGTAGGCGGAAACATAGAAATTGATCATTCTATTCATTCACTTCCAGTACATCAGCGCGCACGATAAAATATACAAACATGTAGTTGAAAATAAATATTTGTATAAGAGAAAACTTGTATATAAAATGATGGATATAAAGTAGGGGCTACTTTGATTGAAAATAAAGTAGTAGGAAATTAAATCCTTGCGAAGCAGAGATCGTGCTCTGTCAGCAAGAAATATCTTGCGAGTTGCAAATTCAAAACTTGTAGGTTTAGTTTTCGAGAAAAATCATTCCCATGCAACTGATTATACTTTCGTGTAATCCGCGCACGATTAAGCGTTCACACATATACATTCATGGTCGACTAACGATTAATCCGCCCAACGTATTGACCAATGCCTTGACATGAATGCAAGATAACCGTGCAACAGACGGGGTTGTATCGGGATTAGGAGCGGACTTCGTTAGCGAGCGATTGTTACTGAATACCTGAAATATTATGAAATGAGGTAGAATTTCACATAATTTAAAAAAATTATAAACGGTCAAAACACATTCCGGTTACTGATGTAGTAATTGAAATAACTGCTTGAATTGTTTTATTATTACTTAATGCATCTTGCGATGCCTTTTTTTTCTATCGTTCTATTTATTATCTGATTATTTTTATATAATAGTATATGAATCTTTACTTTCTCGTGAATGTGAATTCTCGTTGCATTCGACGACGTAATTTCGACCCACGCCAGTTCAACGTATATGTATTTGTAATTTATGCAGCTTCATTGAAAAAAAGTCAGGCGTTATGCTAATGCACGAGCGGGGTATTATTCACGGCCGTATGTCACTGACCACCTACCCGAGACCACTGAATGTAACTGGATAATAATATTGCTCGTCTCTCTTATCGCGCATTTTTCTCTTTCTCTTTTCGCGCGGATAAAGATTAGATTTTCTGTGTTTCTTTGTATCGCCTATTTCGTTAGTCAGTGTTGAATTAGGAATCATCGCGGAATTCGTACATCTGCGAGCGCGTAGTCTCCAAGTACTACTGGGACGATATTAAATTATAATTCGCGGCACGCTCTACCGCGTTAGTTCATACTTTCCTTTACTATTTATAGGCCGACACTCGCTTCGCTCGTTCGTTCCTATTCCTTGTCAGCGAGAGCTACGAACCGACTTCGAGAAAACACACTGACACGCTCGCGAGCGCAATTACGGTCGTGAGAAATCATCCTGGCAGATGTAACAACGTGTATAAATACGTGCTGTATCGAGGAAATTGAAACATTTCTATGCAGTTTATGAGAGATCGTATTTTCCTGCGCGTTGAGTAATATCTGACAAACGTCCTTGGTAAATCATCACGACGCCGCATCGTCGTTGCACCTTACAAACTGTCAAAGTTTATGGGAGAAGGGGAGGAAAGGAGGAAAGAGAAAGATATCTAGCTTATAATTGAACTTTTCACATTTGCTTAATATTTTCTTGGAAAAAATTAACCTCTCGTAACTAATTTTATATCGTATCTTTGCGACTCGTATCGGTATTGATCAAACTTGAATACGATTTACTTCATTCTCTGTTTTCCAGAGTACAAATTTACTTTCATTGTTAAACCGCCACTGCCACCCACAACCATCTGTTACTTTCTTTCCGCGGGCTTAGGTTAAATCACCACTGTACTTACTACAACTTGGTTACATATGTACGCAGCTAGGCGTGGATAAATAAACTCCAACTCGCGCATGCATTGTTCGCTTCCTCAATTCTCGAGAAAATCTCGACGATGTCGTAAGCGATATTCGAATCGCAAAATAAGTAATGAGAAAATACAATTTGGGATTTATCGATATATATATATCCCTCGATTGCCAAATCAATTGGCATGCGTTGTGAGTAAACGAGTATATCGCAAATAATATTTTTAGATTTAATTGGGAAGATAAAATATATATTTTTAAATCTTTCACAATTATTTGCGAAGAAATCTTTCCAATTAATCCATCGATTTGTAACGCTGCGTACATGTATATTCTTACGCAACGCAATCGTTTTAATTCCAGATCGAATTTTCGATACAATTCCGCGAGCATAATCGATCATCATGCACGACGTGATCGATACATCGAGTCAAAAGACCGGAATGCGATAGGCAATTAATTCCGTATGCTTTGGGCGACTTATTAATCGCGTTTTTCATTAGATTTCTTTTTTAATTATCAATTTTAGACGCGTAGAAATATTAAATTTAATTTTTACAAATCTTTATTAACGAATGAAATAAAAATTTGCCTTTGAAAAACTTTATGATTAATAGAAAAGACGGATAATTATTAAAAATTTTTTTTTTTAATTATATATATATATTTTAAATCAACTTTACATAAAACGTTCGCTTGCAGAGAATCTTTACCAAGTTCCATCGCTTCCATCTACTAAATTTACTTATAAAGATAAGCGTAAGAGTATAAACAAATATACAGTATAATATCTCAAGTTGTACTCACCGGGGTAGCCTTCCGGGATGACTATTTCCGGTCCCACTTTGACATCGTGACGGTAACGATGCATCAGCAGCGTAGCTGTGACTCTGAGTGATCTCTGCTGTTGCTTGTACAACAGTATCGGCCTTCCACCGGCACCTTCGACCCTGACCACTCTCGGCAGTGAGAATCTATCCAGGAACTCGCGCAACGGCATAAAACCGCCGCCGGAACCCGCGGCCTCGGCGGTCGCCTCTCTCGAGCTCGGCAACGAGTCCTCGCCGGTTCCGGTGGCCTCGCCGCTCGACAGCGTCGAAAATTCACCACTCGATGACATCGCGGCACAATTTCGCTTTCACAGTATCTCGTGTCAAATCTTCTCACGGTTTTTTTTTTACATTCCGCTGCTCGCGATATGCGTTTCACGTTGTCGTATCAAAATTTTTGATTTTAAAAATGCCCCAAAGCGATTAGATCAAATGACCTTTTGTCCGCATGCTCGACGAAGACACGACGAAGATCACTGCCTAAGATTGCATGACATATCATTTGTTTAGATTTCTTTTTATTAATTTAAAAAAAAAATTTGGTAGAATTATAAAAATTGATTTATAAAAATATAACTATTAAAATCTCGTTTGAATATATAATGTAGGAGAAAATATTATAGTCTTTATCGAAATAGTCACTACATTATCTAGAAAGATTTATAATGCGATGAAAAAGCTCCGAGGAATTAATGTAGCGGAAGGAACGATTCTCGCAATAACACGAGCAGCTAACTTGCTTCCTGCTCGTATATAACGATATGCACCCAGCGATGTCGGAATACAAAGTGCATTCCTCTTTCTGCTCCTCCCCTTCCCCCTTCCCCCTTCTTCGCTATGCCTCAACCACCCCCGATGGAATTCGTCTTTTCGCGAGGCATGACAGTCTTGATGCACCAGCGAACCGTGCGAGCTAATGAATGATTACACTTTGGGCACTTTGACGATAATGGTGATGATGATGAATTTATGACGATGATTATATATATCTCCCCTAGCATACCAGTGCGTCGCCACTGGTGTTTGCCTTTCGGACGAGCGACTGGTTCATTGCCGGGGAAACGTGAGCAGAATGATGAGGCATGCTCTGCTACTTACGAAATGTCACCTTTGAAGTGGCAACCGAAATGTGACACAGTTGTAACAAAAAGGGGATAATATATTATTATATAATTAATGAATAGAATTATTAAATATTACTGCGTATTGCAATCATTAATATTTTTTTAATTTTAATTGATAATTAAATTAATAAAATTATACTAGAATTTTATTTTATCAAATGATTTTACTTTCGCGTTTTATAATCTACTTTATTAATCTATTTTAATATTCTCTTGTGGTCGCCTCTCAAAAAATTCTTAACGCTTAATCTTATATTTTCTTTCGATTACAAGTTTTCGTTTCTAATTCGATTTATCTTTCAATCGTTCTTGGGATTTTCGTATAATTAGGGACGATGATTTGTGTCTATTAGCATCTCCTAGAGCGACGTAAAATATAATTTATTCATGCTCGCTGTCATACGCAGTCCATAATGTACTTTCTTGGGTGACTTGCACCTGTGACATTCCACGGCTTCGCGGCGATACTACGTACATCGCATACGAATGACGAGAATTAATATTCCACATATGTAAGATATGATGCGCGCGGAGACTCTGGGCATTATCCGCGGTTCCGGTCATGAATACACATGAGATGGGGGATTCTTTTTTTGTAAACTCGCGGCTCCTTCCTCGTTATTCGCAACAGAATGTTTCATCCGCGAAACTTCTGTAATCGCCATGTAATGGAGTTTTAATTACCTGCGACTAAAGCGACCGTGACGAAGGTATCGTGAATTATTACGACAGCTGAATATGACGCATCTTAATAAACCTTCGATTTTTTTATGTTCATATTTTTTTCCTTTTACACGTTTTTACATTCGTTCGTCCTACGCGGATCTTTCGCGTTAGTATGCGTAATGTACGCAAGAAGACTTGCTATTCCGTTCATACGCACGATCTTTTTCAAAAATCGCGTTCCTCCTTCTTGCCACACACATACGTTCGCAACGAGCAATTATGTCTCGACCGAAACTTTCAAAGAGCCTCGCGACTTCAAGTGACTGTGACGGAGCGTCTTTCTTCGTTTTGAGACTTTTCGATTTCACTCTCCGTCTTTTGTTATTGTCCGCTATTTAAAAATGACATTCATCACGTGTGGGACAGCTGTCAAATGTCAAAATGTCCACTTTGTCGAACATAATGTAAGTAGACGTAAAACTGACAAGAAACGACAAGACGAATTGCGAGAATTCTCGATATCAGATAATTAAGCTACATTCATATTGAGTTAAAAAGTCTCGTCGCATTCTAGTGCATAATAGATCGTGCGAAGTGAAAGTGTAGATTTAGCAATTCGCCCATTAGCGGCTATTCTAAGCTGAAAATGTTTTGTTTTCCACGCGGGGTTACTGCAGACGTCCCTGATGTAATTTTCCTACAGAAGACTTATCGTGCCGCCAAGCACGTAATCCTGGCAGCGATTTTAATCGAGCTTATGAAAGTTTCTTCATTACGTGCAACTTTCTAACGATACAATGATTAATTAAGTACCAGGAACAAAGCAGGGAATTTTAATCATTGCTTTAATTTAGGTAAGATAATAACGTTTCGCGAGCGAGGTCTACTTTAACACAGTGAAAGTTCGAATCCAATATTGAAGATTATCGACAGTTATTAAATTTTGCACGCTTGCAAGGCACGACGAATACTGATAATTTCAAGAATTATAATTTAGATTCTACGTTGCAGGGTCTAATAAAATTTAGTAATAAGCATGCAATATATAATCTTGTATGAAGGATAAAAATTATCATGTTGCGTATGTTTTCTATCCTCATTATTCCGTGTCTGAATACACAAACAAGAATAAGAATAATGATTACATACATAAAGGCCACTTTAAATATTATAATCCATTCTAACGCTGTATATCCATTAGCTTCACGATTTTCGGAGCACGATCGAGCGCGATTCGAAACAAATTTGATCCCATTCACTGTAATTATCCTTATCACTCACCTCGTCGATCATCTAAATTTAATGAAAACTCCCTCTAAAAATCTATTAAAAACGTCCGTACGAGACATTTGATCCACTCATGTGTGCAAATAAAATTGATGCACACATCGAGATCGCGACACAGATCTGTATCTTCATAAAGATATTACGAGAACACCTCAAACAATCGACTGGACGCTAAAGTAAAAAATGGAATCGTTTGTTGAATTTCCTCGCGATTTAAACGCGATCCCGTACAATTTTCGATACTCGAGCCGGGAAAAATTTTCGCGAGAGTAACTCTCGACTCTTCTCGAGAGGTCGGATGTACCTCGACGCGGTCGAACCGGCATTGATCGAGCGATCGATCGATCGATCGAGATGCAGCTGCGAGAGAAGCGCGACGAGGAGCGCCCCGACGTTGCGGACGAGATCGCGCGACTAAAGCTCGCAAACCGCAGAGACGCGGTCGAGCCGTGTCTCCCCACTTCGAGATCCCCAGTTCAAATAAACTGTATCGCGCAGGCTCGCAGTACTCTCGGGAATCTCTCTCCGAGTTGTCAAGACTTTGCTTCCTTTTTTTCTCCCGCGATCCCGCGACTCCTTTCCTCGATCAGTTCGATACTTCCGGTTCCGTACGGATTTCATGATATTTGCGTAATGTCCACGCACTGAGAGAATTTTCGATGAAATGGTAATTTCGACGTGACAAGAGAATCTAGGTTCTACGTAATAAATTTCTATATATGTAATCATTTTATATTTAAGAATTTTTTTATATCATAATTGCTTTGTTTTTTAGAATTATTAAATCGTGGAATATTAATTTTTGAATATATTTCAAGTTTTTACAGCGTGCGCGATATGAAATATAATATATTTATATACGTTGTTGATATATTTTAGAATCTCTCGTGAGATTTCTTGTATAAGACTCTTGTATGATCTACATTTCTCTTATAGTTTTTTCTTTTAATTTATTTAATTTTTTTTTTCAAACTGATTTAGAAATGTCGACATTAAGTCCACCCGGTTCGATCGGCAGTCAAATCACGAGCGCGATATTTGCCCGCGTAATTAATAATTGCATATATTATGCAACGTGCGCGACCAATTACTGTGCATTGGTACCCCGTAATTTGAAATTTCACGTTGTATTCGTGATATCCGTGACCGGTAACGGTGTAACCTTCGTGCACCTTCACGAACTCGCGAACTAGAATGCCAAGATCATAGTCGCGCGCCATTTTTCGCCGCGCTGAATTTCTCACCGATCAACAGCACATCGCGACATCGCTGCATCCAACGTGCATCGTGTCTCGCGTTGTCCGAGACGTCCAAGACAGTCGGCAATTACACAGACGCGCATAACAGTTAATATCGAATTATTATAGGTATCGAGGTAACTCGCCGACTTAAATGGCTTACGCTGTGTTTGCCATATGTTCCCCGAGCAGATGGCGTGCCACTTTCCGCGAATCCGCGAGATGGACCGCTACGCGGCGAATTGCGTAACAATGATCGCCGACGCGAATCAAAAATGTAAAAGCTTCCTTGCTACTGTGGTTTTTAACTGTATTCGAATAAGTGGGCCACGTTGGACTGGCCTTTATTCGTTTGAAACTAGCTTCTCGTCTGCCGGAGAACGACGTCCTCCTTTTGCGGAAATTATTATTTTATCACGAACTTATTCGCGGCATGAATAAACTCACAGCGTTAATGTACTTAAGAAAGGTATGTCTCCGATAAGTAAGGAATTTTAGTGTCATATGGCTGTTCCACATTTCCAGAATAAATGTGTATCTCGATTATATTTGATATTTTAGTTGTTTTGTTGATAAACTAGGTTGAGTTGATGAGATGAAAGCTTAAGATTTTTTAGATTTATTATATTTTTTAAGAATATTTATTACATATATATTTGTATACTTTTAATTTACTCTCTCGTAATTATATTAAAGTTTGAAAAATTAAACGTAAAGACAGTTTACGCGTGGAGATTTTTGGCTTTTGGATTTTGGATAAGCTTTTTTTGCGCTTTATTAGCAAGTACTTTCACATGCCTAGTTGCACACCCAACTATCCGACAATTATTCTGGAATGCAGGAATATTAATGTCTATGTTTAGGGAAGAAACGTTGCGCGAGTGTCATTGTCTCTCGTAATTGTCGCTCTGCCGCAAAATGATTATTGACTCGAGGAACGTTGATTACAGCGACGAGGCACCAAGTATCTCATTGTTTTCTCCACGCGGTGCACCATTAATATCTTTTCGTTCTATCCTAGCCCGGGGTTAGAGGTCGGGAGGAATGTCCGCGTCATAGACCTGTCGTAGACGTTTTGAATTTCATCGGGCGATTGTATGCGTTTTGTCTTCGATAAAAACAAACGTGCCCTGCATTTACGATGCACGATGCATGTCATTTTCTTCTCGAACGTAAAAAACGGCACACCGTCATGAATAAATAATCTTAACAAGCGATAATTTAATCAATTTTTTCCGTCAATATAATAACGAGCTTTATCATGCAAATACATCGCGATGTCAACAATTTTTCTCGATGACAAAAAATCGCGAGGTGCGATTTGCGAAAGAGTTGATGCAACCATCGCGTGATAATAATTTTCAGATTGGCACGGCCGGCTAATTATTTCTACTTATCCGTTGCGCTTCGTTAAGTAACTACAATTTAATTTGCCGCGCGCGGGGTCAATATTCCTTAATATTCCGAGTATAGCGTCACGGGTCTCTCACTACTGCAGACACGGTACACGGAAGCATATCGTACATCGCTGCAAGACGGATGACCTTCGGAAGGTCAGCGCCTTTACTCCTCGCTGTCGATGTGGATACCACTGTACTCGTACACGTACGGCGTACATACATATATATTCTCTCGTAAGGCACGTGCGACGAAGAAAGAAATTAATGGAAATTTTTACGAAATGTAAAAAAAATGCCAGGTCGGTGTAATGACATGGAAAAGCGGCGGTTAAATGATACCAACCTTTCTTCCGCATGCGTACCTCGTCATTAAGTGACTTGAGTATACCAATCGTTCGCTTGGAATGACTATCACGCGATTGATTAACGGCCGAACGATACTCGAACCGATCCATCGGTCGTTGTCGTTATAACTGTTTGCGTTGGCGAATTAATTCGCGAATTAACGGCGCATTGTTTCGCCAGTGTATAGCACACCGAGCTCTCACGACCGGAACCTTTATGTAAACGTTCGTGACTGGTATCTTCGAGACACCTCGGAGATGATTGCCGAAGGATATCTGCTTCTCCTCGCTTAGTCCCGTCTAATTAAAGTCAGGTAGCGGTAATCGTTGCACTAGATTGCCTTCACGTGTACATCGTCATTTGTTATTTCCAACTGATTATTATGCTCCTAACTTAGATCGCGTTCGGTTACTTATGTTCGAAGAAGATTGCGCAACAGAACTCATTATGGCTTCTTATTGCAGATTATGAGGAAATCAATATCGATAATTGCGATAACTTGTACTATTATATGCATCGAATAGCATAATGCTGGAGAATTTTGCCTGCATATAAAATGCACTGATATAATTCTGCGCTTTATTATATACACTGCTCTTCTAGATTGATGTAAAGTTTTTCTTTAAGGCAATAAATTTTCTTTTCGAGAAATATAAATATAATTAAAAATACTAAATAAATCTTATAACATAATCGTTATGATTTGTGATATATTGCATAGAATTATTCAGGGACCAATATCGAGCTTGTAATAATTAAATACAGCGCGGCCTGTTGAAGCTCTCTTTCTCTTTTTCGAACACGGGAGAAAAATCAGCCAAGCATGCCTCGAGGCTCATTGATCATCTTATAAATAACCATGAAGATTCTAAAAGGACAGCTCTCTCTTAATGAAAATGTCAGATATCGGGCAAAAACTTATCGACGAACGGAATTATTCGATATTGCAGTGTCCGTCGAGAGAAGCTACGTGTCTTTTCTCGTCGATTTTTCTTCGTTGATGCGCTTGTCGATGTACCTCTCATCGTAAACACTTCTCGTCTCGAAACGTATCTTTCTGCGTTTCACGAGTTTCTCGCGTTCGCGATATTTTCGCCAGAGAATCGTCATGTGCGTGATTCAGATCCTGTCGCATATGTTGCATGTGACGATCTCCTATCGATCTCTTGTTTTCATCAATTCACGAAACGTACTTTTCCAATTCCGAGGTGAAACTTGGCAACCAGTAGCGTTACGAAGTGAGCGTCATCATTTCGGACACGTTGTCGATTTTTTTGTCGCGAAGTAATTTTGTCTTTCATGCTTTTACAAGTGTCTAACTTGCGTTTTGTCGCGGTGGCGTTAAGAATATTCCGAGATTTGCTGTAGCGAAAGGAGAATTAGCGTTGAAAACATCAAGATTGCTTGAGAAAATTATATATAAATACGTAGTGTATCATGAAAAAATAAAAAATAACGCACTTTCTCCTATTAAAAAATTAGAAAAGTAACGCTTCAACTTCAAGACTCAACGGGAATTATAAAAAAAATCACGCGTTAATTACTTTTGAAAAAATTCCAAGTTCCATAAAATTTCTAGTAACTTGCGTATTTTCGATGTCACGTAAAGACCGTAATTAAAGCGCATGTAGTAACATTACTCAATTGCGCTAACACTGTAGTGTATATTCATGAGCATCTCGGGTAGATGTGATCATCTGTTCGGCTTTTAAGGATTTTCTCGTCGCGACAGACTATGGTATAACTCGTAGAAATTAACACGTCCTGGAGAATAAACGTCGGAAGATAGATTTATGCTGGCCTTCGGTATACTTTTATAGAGGCCACGCTACTGCAGGTAAATGCATGAGTCATCTCCACAACACTTGCGCGTTTTATTTACCTCACTATAATTACATATGCATAAAGTAATTTACAAAAATTATCAGCACGGACATAATGACAAGATTGCTACATCTCAATTTATCTATCAGTATGTGGTTTTGTTTTATATATTCATCTACATTATAAATATATTGTTTTCACATTCTTCCATTGCTATAAATAGAATAACGATCAAAAACATGTAATAACAGTAAACAATAATTATGCAATTTTGTCTATAACAAAAGAAGTAATTCGAAATCCTATTAAATTAATTCCGTAACGCGCAAATAGTAGAGTTTCTTGCTATTTCCGACGTTACGTATCGAAGTTTACGCTGTGTCAAACCCGATGTCGATTGCGCGCACGCGACGCAAATACGTCCGTAAGAAGCGGAGAAAAAGGCGAGCTCTCTCTTACGTCGACCAGCCGTTTCTCGTCGTTGCACTCTGACGACGCAGTCACGCAGAAATACGTGCATCGGGACGCGCTGCGGCGCCGTGCGTGAATCGATCCGAGGCTCGGTGCGCACGATCCTTGGACGATAGTCTTA